CAATTCCCGCCGGCCCCGACGTTCCTCGAGTAGCGTTGGTAACTCCTTCCCTTCTTGCCGTCGACTTTCTTGATTTCGGTGAATAAATAACGACAACTGCCGTCTTTTACCTAAAAATCTTCAAACAACTCTCAAGACTCCGTTTGGCCGTAGAGGTCGGCTATGGAGATGAAGCCGTGGGAGGGAAGAATATTCCCTTTGACGAACCCAGGAGATAATCAAAGCAGTGAGCGTCCCACGATTTAACTTGATTCTGCCCATTTTTTTTTTCTGTTTCAAATAGTAGATACTTGATATTTTTAGGGGACTTTCCGTTGTGTTCAAGTCACGTAAATACTTATTGGTCACCATTGGATTTAAATGCAAAAAAATTGTAGGTTGAAATAGTTAATCGCTGTTATTAATTTTGCTTTTTAAGAAGACACTAGTACAACGTCCGTGTATACACGGGTGCTTGCTAAAATTTTGCTTAAAATTTAAAATTAATAAGAAAAAGTAGTTAAAAATTTAAATACTTTTTATGAAAAATGTATATTATTATATATTTTAGTATGACGCTTGTTACTTGTGCGACTTACCAGTGTTATAATATAATAATTTTTCTAACTTAAAACATATAACTACATTAAATATAAATATATTAAACATAAATATATTAGTTGAGAAATAATTTTATTTTTCTAACTAATTTTTATAATTTTTTATTATTATAAAGATAAATATATTTATTTATTTTATATATACAATATGTATGTCAAATCGAAGTTAATCAAAAGATATAAAAGTTATCAACTTTTAAAATACATTTGCAATTCAATAATTATAATGGGAAGTGATATTAAAATACTATTAATACATCTAAAATAATCATAAATAAATCAACATATTTATGGTAATCCGAACCTATTTTTTTTATTGAAATTAAATCAAAATATGATTTATCCAAACCTAATTACGAATCATGATTATTTGCCAAGTAGGATTCCGAAGCACCAGAAACAACCATGTAGACTCAGCGCATTCGAGAATTATATAGGGGGATCTAGCCTGTTCGACCAATTCCCGCCGGCCCCGACGTTCCTTGAGTAGCACTGGTAACTCCTTCCCTTCTTGCCGTCGACTTTCTTGAGTTCGGTGAAGAAATAACGACAGTCGCTGTCTTTTACCTGTGAATCTTCGAACAGCTCCCAGGGCTCCGTTTGGCTGTAGAGGTCGGCTATGGAGGTGAAGCCGTGGGAGGGAAGAGGATTCCCTTTGACGAACCCCAAGAGATAATCACAGCAGTCAGCGTCCCGCAGTTTGAACTTGATTCCACCCATTTTTTTTCCTGTTTTGAATAGTAGATACTTGATATTTAAAGGGGGCTTTTCGTTGTGCTCAAGTCACGTAAATACTTATTGGTCAGCATTGGATTTAAATGCAAAAAAATTGTAGGTTGAAGTAGCTAATCACTATTATTAATTTTGATTTTTAAGAAGGGACTAGTACAACGCCCGTGTACTACACGGGTGCTTGGTAAAAAATTTTCTTAAAATTTAAAATTAACGAGGAAAAGTAGTAGAGAGTTTAAATACTTTTTATAAAAAATATATATTATTATATATTTTAGTATGACACTTGTTACTTGCGCGACTTACCTATGTTTTATTATAATAATATTTCTAGCCTATAACATATAACTACATTAAATATAAATATATTGAACATAAATATATTAGTTGAGAAATAATTTAATCTTTTAACTGATTTTGTAATTTTTTTATTATTATAAAGATAAATATAATTTATTTATTTTATATATACAATATGGATGTCAAATCGAAGCTCATCAAAAGATGATTAATTTAATATATTATATATGTAAAACCGACAAAATTACAAAAGTTATCAACTTTTAAAATACATTTGTAATTTCATAATTATAATGGAAAATCTTATTAAAATACAATTAATAAATATAAAATGATCTTAAATAAATCAACATATTTATGGTAATCCGAATCTATTTTTTTTATTGAAATTAAATTAAAATATTATTTGTCCAAACCTAATACGATGCATGATTATTTGCCAAGTAGGATTCCGAAACACCAGAAGCAGCCACGGTGGCTCAGCGCATTCGAAAATTATATATAGGGGGATCGGGCCTTGTTCGACCAATTCCCGCCGGCCCCGACGTTCCTCGAGTAGCGCTGGTAACTCCTTCCCTTCTTGCCGCCGACTTTCTTGAGTTTGGTGAAGAAATAACGACAACATTGTCTTTTACCTAGGAATCTTCGAACAGCTCCCAAGGTTCCGTTTGGCCGTAGAGGTCGGCTATGAAGATGAAGCCATGGGAGGGAAGAAGATTCCCTTTGACGAACCCCAAGAGATAATCACAGCAGTCAGCGTCCCGCAGTTTGAACTTGATTCCGTCCATTTTTTTTTTCTGTTTCAAATAGTAGATACTTGATATTTATAGGGGGCTTTCCGTTGTGTTCAAGTCACGCAATTACATATTGGTCACCATTGGATTAAATGCAAAAAAAATTGTAGGTTGAAGTAGCTAATCACTACTTATTAATTTTGTTTTTTAAGAAGACACTAGTACAACGTCCGTGTATTGCACGAGTGTGCTTGCTATTTTTTTTCTTAAATTTAAGATTAATGAGAAAAAATATTTGAAAATTTAAATACTTTTTATAAAAAATATATATTATTATATATTTTAGTATGACACTTGTTACTTGTGCGACTTACCTGTGTTCTATTATATTAATTTTTCTAACTTATAACATATAACTACATTAAACATAAGTATATTAAACATAAATATATTAGTTGAGAAATAATTTATTTTTCTAACTAATTTTTATAATTTTTTTATTATTTTAAAGATAAATATAATTTATTTATTTTCTATATACAACATGGATGTCAAATCGAAGCTCATCAAAAGATACACAAGTTATCAATTTTTAAAATACATTTGGAGTTCAAAAATTATAATGAGAAATGATATTAAAATACAATTAATACGTCTAAAATGATCATAAATAAATCAACATATTGATGGTAATACGAACCTATTTTTTTATTTAAATTAAATTAAAAATTATTTATCCAAACCTAATTACAAAGCATGATTATTTGCCACGTAGGATTCCGAAGCACCAGAAGCAACCACGTAGGCTCAGCATATTCGAGAATTATATATAGGGGGATCTGGCCTGTTCGACCAATTCCCGCCGTCCCCGACATTCCTCGAGTAGCGCTGGTAACTCCTTCCCTTCTTGCCGCCAACTTTCTTCAGTTTGGTGAAGAAATAACGACAGCCGCCGTCTTATACCTGGGAATCTTCGAACAGCTCCCAGGCTCTGTTTGGCCGTAGAGGTCGACTATGGAGATGAAACCGTGGGAGGGACGAGGATTCACTTTGACAAACCTCAGGAGATAATCACAACAGTCAGCGTCCCGCGGTTTGAACTTGATTCCGCCCATATTTTTTTCTGTTTCGAATAGTAGATACTTGATATTTATAGGGGGCTTTCCATTGTGTTCAAGTCACGTAAATTTCTTATTGGTCACCATTGGATTTAAATGCATAAATTGTAGGTTGAAGTAGCTAATCGCTATTATTAATTTTGCTTTTTAAAATTAATGGGAAAAAGTAGTTGAAAATTTAAATACTTTTTTTAAAAAATATATATTATTATATATTTTAGTATGACACTTGTTACTTGTGCGACTTACCTGTGTTATATTATAATAATTTTTCTAACTTATAACATCTAACTACATTAAACATAAATATATTAGTTGAGAAATAAATTTTATTTTTCTAACTATTTTTTATAAAGTCGAAGGACGTAGGAATTCTCTCGTTTGAGAGCGGAGCCGTATTCTCTCAATTGGGAGCTTTTGATCTTTGTTTCCCCTTCAGTTCTTCCGTTTCTTGTTTCATCTGAGTGGTTCCTAGCTATCCTATTTTGAGCATTTGTTTCTCATCTTGCTTTGTGGGTGTTTTTTCGATTTTGTTGCGAATTGGGGCTTTTCCTAGGGTTTTCTTTCTCAATGTCGGGAGCTTCGAGTTCCAGCCAAGATGAAGATCTCTCTCAACGTATGGAAAGCTTCTCTCTATCAGGAAGAGAGGGTTTGCTTGTGGATATAGCTAAGGACGATACATTTGCAATTTAAAATACATTTGCAATTTAATAATTATAATAAGAAATTATATTAAAATACAGTTAATACATCTGAAATGATCTTAAATAAATCAACATATTTATGGTAATCCGAACCTAATTTTTTTGGTTTAAATTAAATTAAAATATTATTTGTCCAAACCTAATTACGAAGCATGATTATTTGCCAAGTAGGATTTCGAAGCAATAAAAGCAGCCACGGTGGCTCAGCGCATTCGATAATTATGTATAGGGGGGTTTGACCTTTGTTCGACCAATTCTCGCCGGCCTCGACGTTCTTCGAGTAGCGCTGGTAACTCCTTCTCTTCTTGCCGCCGACTTTCTTGAGTTTGGTGAATAAATAACGACAA